TATTACAACATTAATTTAACCATTTTTACTTTATTATTTTAAAATAAATTGTTTTAAAAAATTAGATTAAGGCCAAAAAATATCTTAGGTTGGTTTGATTTAAAGTAACTATATTTTACTATTGAGCTAAAATTAAAAATGATAAATAGGTATGATTTATGACTATAAATTAAGTATTTAAATTTGATTAAATTCACATTATAAAACTTAAATTCAAAACCTTTTAATTTTTTTAGGAGGAGATTCTCACTAGTTTATTTAATTTGTGAAGTAGAATTTTGTATTTTTTGAGGTTTTTGGAGAAATTTAGTATCTTTCTGTTTGTTACATAGTATGACTAATTGATGCTAGATGTATGGCATTAATTCTAAGAGTAGTTTTCTTCTCAAATTTTAACGAAAATCCTTCTGAGTGATTGATTTCTGTGAAAAAACTTTACTGTCCAGTAAGATACTTACTTTTCAGTCAGTGTAAATGTTAGTGAATTTCATTGACATGTTCATAAGCAAAATTTTCTTTTAGATGGCATGTTCTGCACACACTGAGATATGGTTCACAGTAGTTATGAGATTGAATAAGTCAATGACTCAATATCAATGACAACAGTGAAGTGAATTGTACAAGACCTCTACACAAACAGGTGCTGTGGGTCTGATCCGACACTCAAAATCACAGTGTGGCTATTCCCCCCACTAACCCTCCAACATCCATCGTAGGCCATCCTTAATATTTAATTTGAATGAACGAAAGTGTTCTTTTTTTTTGTTTTTTACAGGTTAGGGTGCCTTGGAGCATGTTAAGTGCACCTCCGCCTTCGATCGTCGAATTCTAGTTGGGGAATGAAGATTATGGGTGGAATTGATGCTAATTTCATTAAAATCGGTTTTCAATTGTAATTTTTTCTATTCTTTATGGATTTGAGTTTATTTTTGGAGCTCAGAGTTTTGAGTAGTCATATAATTTGATATATCATTATCTAAATTTTATTCTTTGATTGAAATTTATTAACATTTTAAGATTTTTGTGAAAATTTGTGAATTTTATGACATTTTATCTTGAAATCATTGTATTTTAAGTGTTGAGTCACTAAAAGTGAGAACCGATTAAATTTTATTTTTTATTTTACAAAATCTGTCATTGTGTCGAATTACTTTATCTTAAATAGAAATATGGGATCACAATTCTAGACTGAGGTTGGGAATCTATATTTGTCAACCCAGTAATCATTTTTGGTTTTTTGTTTCATCTTGGATTGTGGAAAAGTTTTTGGGGCCACATTGATGTTCTACGCATTTCTTCTGAGTAATGTTTAATCTCATGTTAACAGCGTCAGCGTCATAGCGACACTGAGGAGGAGGAAAGTGATTATGAAGATGAGGTTGAAATTGTTAGCAAGATGATGATTAATGAAGAATTGCATGCAAGTTGGGACCAGCCAACCAGGTGTATTGTCTTCCACGATGTTGAGCACACAAGGCTACAAGTGTTGGCATTCCAATTGACTGAGAAGCTTTTAGTTAGTTCTTGTTAAAAGTAATGAGAGGGCAGTAAAGGCAAGGATTGGTGGTGGTGGAGGATTAAATCTACCCATCAGGCAGGAGAAAACCAGTATTATGCAGCTGGTATAGCTTCTACTACTGGTGGTAGGTGGCAAGTACATGTCTTTCCCTCAGGGGAAGCAATGTAGAAGTGGGCGCATAGGATATGGTGCTTGTGGTGCAAGAACAGTGGCTTTTGATCAAGTTGCTGGAGGGGGCTATCGGTCCAATCAGTCGCGGAAAGCAGGTAGATATTTCAGGAGGCTTGCTTCATCGATTAAAGGTTCCTAGATGGATTCTTCAAGCCACATGGTGAGTCTTGTTGAGTTTTTTTTTTTTTTTAACACAGAGATGTGGATGGAACCAGGAGGAGCATAAACGAAAAATGGAGAAGGGTATAACACTCAACTCAGATATATCATTGATATTTTGCTATATTTATAGCAAAAACAACATAATAAAAAATAATTTCTTCTCACCTAATATTTTATCTAATACAAGAAAATCTATCAAACATCTAAAATAAGATTACATTCAAAAGATTTGCTGCCATTTTGTAGCCCATGTGCAGCTTCATGCTGTTGTCAGTTTGCTGCTGCTGTGCAGTCATATTGCAGCTCTCACGTCTTTCCATTTGCTGCCACTGCTGCAGCTTTGACACCACAACTCCAACAAGTCTTAACCATGGGG